ATTTTTTCTACATCAATAAACAAAATTCTTTTAGACGCACAAATAAAAGAATACAACACAAAAATAGCAACAAGACAGAACACATACGACGAAAAACATAACAATGTAGACACAACGCCTACAGCACCACAGTTACCACCCCTACCACATAACCATCCACTATCCCTAGTCCCACGAAATTTTCGAAGTTTAGCAATAACACATAATCCAAATTTTAGACCAACCATATCACAAAGTCCCATCCAACATATAATGACACACCATTCACAAGATGAAAATACTTATGAACAAATTATAAAACAACCCCATACCACCGCTTTTCAGTCTCAAAATAATAATTTTTTTAGCCCACGATGAGCCGACAACTTGGATCCCTACACCGCTCAAATTCCCACCCAACCAACCTCACCACTCCAATTACAATAATTCCACTTTTTGCTTTCCCGCCACCCGATTTTGCAACCATTAATGTAACATCAGGCATGAATTCAGATACTAATTCACAAATCTCAGTTTTATACTCCACTTCACAACTCAATAACCCGAATATTGAAACCCCCGATATTTCCATCCAATCATTTTCACACCAACCCCTCAATTTTTTCCCAACCCCCTTTTCAACCAATACTACCAAATAACCCTGTCCCAACCAATTCTACACCCTCTTATGCTTCCCAAGTCACTCCAACCTACTCTTCACTTCATTCAGACCGATCATCCAATTCTCCAGATACCCCCCAAACCTCCCCAGAACTAGATAATTTTATTACCCTACAACAACAAACCTACCACCTTGACACCCCCACTATAAACCAAATTTCATCCACAATAGATTCATCCAACCCACCTACCCCTACACCCTTTTCAGTTTATACCGAATCATTAGCACCATCATCCACATCTACTGAATCTTCACTCAGCACTAATAGAGCTTATCGCACTTTTAAAAGAAAGTTCCCAAACCATCCTTTCCCAGCAAAACCAGGAACAGCCCGTGAATATATAAATCATCCAAATCACACTAACACGAAAGAATTTTTAGCTATCACCTTACCCTCATTTCCACAATATACCTTAAACACCCCTCACGACACTAACGATACACGTAGTTTTGTAGACGATCACGTTTTAATGCCTACCCTTCCTTGGACCTCATATTATCATTTTACTAATCCCCTTTGCCTACCTTTATCTAACACTCACATCGATATAGAACGAAATAAAGACATGCTATATCGACTCACTACACCACTAACACCTAGACAATTTACTTACATCGGATATAAAAAGTCACTAAAAACATTTACTGCACCCCGAGCTAACGAATATACGCTAGAATATTATGATCATAACATCATCCGAACTAACCAAGATCAATTTTTAGACGATGATCGCTTCGCTAACCCACAAATCACAGAAAAATTTTTCATTAAAACACTATATGTATTTACACTCAATATCTTTGATCGCAAATTTGACCACATCATTTCAGAAGCACTAACAGACACACAAGCCTACGAAAGTTTTAAAGAACGCTTTCAATTATTTTCACTAACCTTTCATTTCCTTGCACCACATGAACGAGATTTGCACTGCTCACACGATATTATGTTACGCACTAAACAAACTCACACATATACATATTATCGTTTTATACAAAATCACTTCGACCTACACACTCCCTCCAGACAACCACACCACCGTTTTCAATTCATCAAATCCAAATACACCTCACCATTCTTTCTTAACTTCACATATTGCATTAAAGATACTAACCTTCATGGTATTCTTCGAAATTACGACCCCATAACCCAAATGTATATTTTTTGTCCCATCACGAAGACCTTCAACGCAGAAGAATCCCGACCCTTCCTTATCCCACACGAATTTGTTCAACCAATAGAAATCCCCATATTAGAATTCATCCACAACACTAAATTCAATCACAAATTATATAATCTCATCCAAAACACACCTTATGAGTTTGCAGTTGGCACAGAAGAACTAACAACCATTAAAGCACTTCAATTGCTTTGGCCACTGCTTCAAACTAAAAATATCATCCGCATCTTAGCAAAATTACTAACAACTTCCGACCTCATCCACGACATCTTTCCCCACGGTTTCTTCCCCGACGACTAACAGGTAAGTATGAATTATACATATTATTAACTAATTAAATTAAAATTAGAAACTAACCATTCTTTATCCATGTCTTCTTTAGAATTTTAGCCTTCATCCAACGATCATCTGAAAAATTCACAAAAGAAAAATCAAAAATAGAAAACTTCTTCAAACTGTTTAAAACTCTATTAATTTTTTGCACCAAACAATTAAATAAAAATAATACCAATGCAGTAATTTAATTTATAAATTTTTCCCCACAAGCAGTAAATCTAATAATGATGAAAATTTGTAACTTAATTTTCCCCAACAACTAGCAGTAAATTTGAATTTCTATGTAATAAATTGATAAAACGAAAATGCAGTACTAATCTTTTGATATTTCCATTCATTCGCACAAAAATTCTATCCACACTCGCACAGCTCGCCCACGAAGAATTGTTTAAATAATGATTTTCAGTTTCAAGCTTTCACAATCAACAACTCTAACACGCGATAACAAGTTTCAAACTTTCCTTTAAACCGGTTGGAAAGGAATTATATACTAAACAACACTAACCAACGCAGCTTACTAACCACCACAAATCATAGAATAACAGCATGACTAAGACAAGGAAACCAACGGTACCCAAACCGGATTAACCCAGTTTAAAACTGGATAATTTATTCTTTTGAAGACTATTATAAAGTCTAAGAAAGAAATAATAAAACACAAAAAAGTCGAAAGACAAACCCATACCACAAACAATTTGATTTTTGAAAAAAGGACACAACCAACAAAACATAAGAAAAACCACAACAAACATTATAAAACGTTGTCACATAACAGGACCTCTCACAAACACCGCATGCAATCATACTCCCACTCCTGGCCTAACCCACCAGAAGAGGACGTCCTGAGCATGGTCTATAGCCGGCCTAACACACCGTGCTACATCCACGCTTTGTGACCACACTCCTATTTTTAATAAGAGCTACTCAAGGGTGAGTAACTCTTCAAAATAACTGAACTAAAACAAAAAGCTTTTGTGAAAACAACGAACCAAATTCATAATTAAAAAACATTAAACTAATAAAAGTTTTATAAAATGTAAATTATATTATGCAATATATAGATCAGCATACAACACCAAGGACGAACATCCAAAGACAAAACGACCCCACTACACTCGAAAAAGAATGGCCAACCACAATCGATATGCCGCTCACAATCACAACTCAAAGGATTTAGAGTACGACTTGACTTCGCAGAAAAGGACTTCATTGAACTAGACCAATGACCACCTCGATGTTCAAGTATACGTACAGATCCGAGTAACCAGGAATCCCCTCCATGCACAATCTCCACGCCATTCCCAGACAAGGTCAAACACAAGAAGTTCTCTACATGAAACAGAAAAACCTGACATAGCCAACCATTCTGAAATCAGATTTGAGTTTGTTGCGGAAACACAGTCGTTGTCACAAGAAGACACAACGCTTGATGTCCCTAATTACAGCGTCCTGGAACTTCTCTAACAAGGGAAACAGGAAAAGAAATATGATGTTCGCCAAATACCAACGTCCATCATCCATCCTTCAAATTGCAGAAAAACTATTCTAAAAAACTCTGTAAAACCCGGATGGGTGGAACCTGATCTAAACTACATTTTATGATTGGATAAATTAGATATTTTACCAATGTAAAGTATTTAATATTAACCAATCATGATCCATCTGACTAACAATCCACTTATTTGTAAGTGCTGAAATTACTTGTAATTTCAGCACCAGAGAGATTTGAATTTAACTTAGAAATTAGTTGGACTCTCCCGAGAACTTCAGCAGCCGCAATAAACCAGTATACCCTAGATCTATTGAGCCTAGCAGAGACTAGTTAAACAACCTGAGACTAGATAAGTATAAGAGTAAGATTAGGATCGGTATTAGACTAAGAAGTTGCACGAATCTATCCGGCCGAAAATAAGATAGCGTGACGAGCAGACGGTGTATCCTATCCGAAATTACTCTATGAGTTAACCACATCGGTCCTAACTCAACTGGAACAATGGACCATCCATGGAATCAGGCCACTTGGCCGCATGAAACGGTAATTCACCGGCCTCGATCCTATACCAAGGTCGCATTAAGTAAAAACCAATTTTGGACAATCTTAGATAAAAATCCCACATTTTCATGACCATGGATTTTTCGCATTCTCACGCTTTGGGAATCATTGACTTGACTTTTTGAACAAAATTAAATTGATTCATTTGAAGCTGATAACAAAGATTATTTAACAAAGGCGCTGCAGCCAAAAAGCCAGGTCTAGAGCCAGGTCTAGGGCGCTGCAGTAGAGCCAGGTCTAGGGAAAGTGCAGTACAAAAGTACCGCCCCCTCATCCATCGAAGGCAAAAAACGACAGTGCGTTACTTCGCCGCCCATTTGACATTGTCATTTGAAAATTAACGTCTGCAAGAGAATGTTCACGTCTCACAAAGTTCGATTAGATTAAACTACTCAAGACTCATTAATACTAAGAAAAAGCGTCAATTTGAAAATCTTCTGAAAAAGTTTTTAAATGTAATTTTTTTCTGCAATCTGGCAGTTTTAACAATAATTTAGCAAATTATGAAGTTCATCAAACAGATCTTACAGAAAATTAAAGCGAAGAATGCAGGAGAAGAGAGGTAACTTTTCTCTGTTTGAGGTTCAGTATTCAAACCACTTGTACTAAAAGAAACGTTGGGGTTCAAAATTCAAGTATACTAAAAAAATGCCCATTTAGACGCTAGTAAAACATTGCAAAAATATAAATTTTGGCAGCTATTTGACAGCTTTGGCAAAAATTTGGAAACTTATAAGACTCATTCAGCAAAGTTTAAATAGAATGAAAATCACAAGTTCAATAGAATAGTTTTTACTATCCAGTGTTTGTGGTGTGGCAGTCTGGCGAAGTAGCTGCCAGCATTGCAATGTGTCCCTGGAGTGACCATGTCTGGCATCCGTCTGGTGTAACTCCCGATGCCATAGAGACACTCTGGTTTGTTACTGTTGCACTATTCGGCCGCAATCATTTTAAATCAACTCATTTCAATTCAAATCTTGTTTGATGATTTATTCAATAAATCAAAAATTGCACTACCCTTTGGAGTTTGTGTTTATCATATTCTTCTAATTTTCTCCCAAGCTCTCTGAGTAGTAATAGGTTTTGGAAGGGAACCCCCCCCCCCCTCAAAGATTCGACCCCTTGACACTCTAAAGAGTCCCCTTTTGCACCATTTTAAGACATCCATTTTTGATCGAAAATCAAAAAAATTTCTAAAAATGCCTTGAAGTTACTAAAAGCGATAGGTCAAACAATTCCACAAAATACCCTAAAACGTAATTTTTGGCCTATTTTTTTTTCTTCAAAAAATACTTACGGCGCACAAATTGTTGTCAAAATAGTGTCTTTGTTGTCATAATGTTTTTTCCATCACCTCCTTCTTCGAGAAAATCATTGGTACGTGCCTGAACTGAATGTATTCAAGAAAAATGTTTCGAAATGAAAAGATTGCAGATTCAAATTGGTTGACTGAGAAATGCGGAAAAACTCACGTGAAAAAAACTGTCCTTCTTTTCTCGTACCATGAATGAAATAAAAATTACTTATTGAAGTGGACTCAAATGCCAAAGTGTATTATTGCGGTTGATCTATGTCTGTATATGAGTTAATAATCATAAATTGTGCCTTGAACGTGTAAAGAGGCCCCCCACTGTCGCCGTGACACACTGATGAGTCACCGAAGAGGGGGCGGGTGCAAATGTTGTCTTCTCTGCACCTCTGTGGGGGCTTAACTCTATTGGGTAAAATCTGGTAGAGTGATTCGAAGAAAAACACCTCCTGAAACACGACAACAATAATAACTTTAAATCAATTATCGACTCGCATTTTTTGTTAATTTGAGGAGAATAAAGATTGAAAACAGGAAATATTCAAAGATTCAAATATTCAAAGTACTGAAAAACAATGTTGTTTTTTTTAAAAAAATGAATTTTGAGCTTAAACAAAAAATCGGTAATTATTGGGATGCTTTAATTTCATGTAACATTATTGAATTGTTTCTACTTTTAAACAAATTCATTCACTCTTTAACTGATCAATTTTTTCCGACAAAGACCCTACTAAAATGAAAGCACGCATGGATCTCAAATAAAACAAGACTGCTCTTATCAGGGCGAAGCCCTGAATGTTCCGACTGCCTTTTAAATTGAGCATAAAACAAATTAAATCTAATAAAAAATAAATTAGTAATTAAAAAAAAATTAAGTTTTTTTTTTGTAAAAATTATTCCCCTTGATGCCATTTAAAGTACAAAGTGATAGATTTTGCTTCTATTAACAAACCAGTTATGGCATATAAGCTTCCTTTAACCAATTAAGAACGGTTTTTAAGGCGGATTAAATCTCCGCGTACGCTTTAATAGCGCGAAATAAATCGCGCATTAATTGTCCCAAATTGCCCAAAATGGCAATATTTAAACCCCCATAACTTTGCAAACAAAAAATCACAAGTGAAATATCTTTTCAAATTTAAGCTCAAGACAATAATAGCTTGTGAATGATTTAGAAAAATTCCGTCAAAAATGGTTAATTCAAAAGTCGAAATTTGTCTGAAGAAAATACCCACCCCGAGCACAAATATTCCGTCACTTTCGTTACGAAAGTCAGGACAATAAGAAGTTTTTGCAATAAAGAGCATCGGCTATGCAAAAATTACAAGAAATTCCCAACTACTGAGTTAAGACAATTTATCCACAAAGGAAAGTAGCAACACATGAGCTGTTCAGATCTTCACGGAGAACCGCTGTTGTGCCCTGGTTAAAATTTACATGCAATTTTTTGTCTATTTTTGGCTATTTACTGGAAACAGAGCCATGTATGAGAACCAGGTCAAAAATTTATAGAAATTATTAAGAAAAGCAAAATTTGGATAGCATGGAAATCAATTAAAATCTCAAGGCAAACATAATCCTAAAATATTTTTAACGGTTTTTAATGAATGGTTTGCAGAAATTGGAGAAACGCAAATACAGAAAGGCCGAGTGCACAACTTTTAAATTATTTTTTATTAGATAGAGAAAGAACTATCTACAGATATAAATTTTGAAATTAATATTAGAACATTAAAGAAGTCAGCAAAACAGCAGCTTTTCTTGAAAGTGACTCAAAAGAAAACGTTTAAATTAACTTTAAAGATAAATGTTCACAGGATCTTTTTGGACAGAGTAACTATGTATTAAGCAAACTTTCGCTTACACTGGACAAAATACCCGCTTTAATGAAAAAACGATGACTCCCAGATAATCTAACAATCGGAAAAGTATTGCCAATTTGAAAAAAATAGACGACATAATTTTATCTATATATATATGAGACAATCAACTCACCGGACAGCTAAAAAAACAAGCAGTCATCATTGAATCCGTTTCTGAACGCAGATGGCGAGCACATGAAAATACTTTGTCGGTGGGGGTTTTTATTGTTACTCTCTTCTTAGTAGCTTTTGAAACGCGTGCAATATTAACTATTGTTCCTACTTTCGAAGAAAAAAGATAATCTTTTTGCTTGGAATCGTTTTTTAATAGTCAATTTTTTGACTTTTTGCTTGAACGTAGTTAAAGAAATATTATGTACACCATCTAAAATATATTGTTGTCTGGAGCTCAAAAGTAAAAAAAATAAACTGTGATCTTTTTCCTATATAGTAGTATGGGGGCTTGAAAATGGTAAGTTTGGCCAATTTGGGAAAAGCAACGCGCGAAATGTTGCGTTCCTATGACACGCGTAAAGAGCGGATGAAATCGTTTCAATTAGAATTGAAGCAAAATCATTCGATCTTACTGTTATGATAAAGGACGCTAAATACATACCCTTGTACTTCACTTTAGCGCGTGGGGGATCAAATTGAGGAAAAAATGAAACAAGACTGCTCGTATCAGGGCGAAGCCCTGAATGTTCCGACTGCCTTTTAAGGTTTATGGAGCAGTAATAACATTAAAAAATTCAATGAAATAAAACAAAAGAAATTTTTTTTTTCTAAAATGTGAAATTTTTTAAATGAAAATCATCCCCCTACACGCCATATAAAGTAAAAAAGGATAGATTTCGCTCCTTGTAACAAACCAATTATGGCAAATAAGCTTCTTTTAACTAATTTGGAACAATTTCTAAGACGGATTAACTCTCCGCTTACGCGTTAATAGCGCGAAATATATCGCGCGTTAATTGTCCCAAATTGGCCAAAATGGCAATCTTTAAACCCCCGTAACTTTACGAAAAATGATCACAGGTAAAATATCTTTTCAAATTTGAGCTCAGGACAACAATACCTTTCCAATGATATAAAAAAATCCGTCAAAAATGGCTAGTTAAAGAGTCGAAATTTGTCTGAAGAAAAAAAAACCCACCCCGAGCACAAATATTCCGTTACTTTCGTATCGAAAGTCGGAACAAAAACAAACTTTTTTTCTTTTTTTTATTATTTAATCCTTTGTTCAACCAAAAAACGTGCAGCCTTGTTATTCTTATTTCATCCTTTCCTCAACCAAAAAACGAGCAGCCTTGTTATTCTCACTTCATCCTTTGTTCAACCAAAAAACGAGCAGCCTTGTTTATTATGTTTGAAGGTGCAAAATGATGGTTATGCACACCTGAAGTCTCGCTGGGAATGAGGTGCTGTTGGTGGCGGAAGTCATTCCCATGCCACAGGATCCGAGCAGGGTCTTCTGAGACACATCTGGACTGTGGTCACATATGGGGATCACTTCCGAGTCTGGGTGGGAGATTGGCCTTGTAAGTCTCAGAAGAATGATGTCATTTAAAGGAGCCAATGTCAACAGAAACCTAAATCATCATTTAAAAAACATGAAAATAGTGAAATGCGATGGCACAATGCTTTATTTGCTATTGGACTCTTTTTGACTTAGGAAGACGGATAAGTTACAATTGACCACAACTTTATAATAGATGAGCGAATTCAGAGTCCACTACAGTTTTTAGTAGGAAGGAAGATGTGCGAGCTCAACCAATTAAGAAAACTGCCCCTTAAAACGTCTCTGATAAGTGTTGATATAGACTTTATGTATGTTTTTACAAAGTCCTTTTTTTATTTCTCAGTATTTTTAGCAAGATGTTTTGCAAACTTGTAAAAATGGAGTGGAAAATTAGCTTCGTGTATTTTTTGCGCTGCAAATCAGGTACCGCAAATAAACGTATTTGTGGTCGAGATATTTTTTTAGCTATGATGAAAAATAATCAAAATAACACCTGCTGTCGAGAACTTCTTCTCAAACTTCTCATGACTTATTAGCATTATACTTCATAATTAATCTAAATTAGATCCAATAAAAATACTGTTATTCGCAAGATTCTTCCTTTTCAAGAGTTTCTGATTAATTTCATTAAGACTAAATTTGATGATTTTCATTTGCTTCCTCTCATATATAAATTTGGTTAATGACTTGAATTTCCATAAGCCATTTGTACAGTGAGATATGATATGTTCCCCAAAAAAGCGCCAAAAAGTGGTGATAACCTTATCTACAAACCACGAACACTCAGTATGTCAAAATGAAGAAGAACAAAACCTATTTTGTACTGGACACATCACAAAATTTAATGCTTCAAATTTGACACAATTTGCTTAAAGAAAATTTTATCAAGGCTTTCCTTTTCTTATCACATCGATGCATGAGAAAAACAAGGAGGAGAATGGACGATCTATAACTAATCTCTTTGTAGCGAAAAGCTCTTTCAAGCATGTCGCCTCACCACCGCAGTTCTGACCCCCTGGCGCCTATTTTTGATATACCCAGTCTAGCTTCATACGGTGGATCTTCAGCTCAAGACCGCCTTGGCTTTTACTCCCAGGAGGCCCTCCAACGCACACACTGATACAAAATTGATACAAATTGATGCAAACATTGATACTGCTTTCGGAGTATCGGATAAGGAATCTCTAGGTCCTTGTGGCGACAACTTTACTGCTAAGAGCATGATCTGGGGAGCGCTGGTGAAGTGGTTACGTCTCCGCCTCTCAATCGAAAGGTCGGATGTTTGGATCCGTGTTCTTTGGATGAGGGTGAGGCCCAGGAAAATAATCAAAAAAAATTGCATGTAGATCTTAAAACAAGGCACAACAGCGGTTCTCCGGGAAAAGCTGAGGAGCTCGTGTGATGGTCCTTTCCTTTGTGGATAAACCGTCAAATTCTGTTGACAGTCGTTTCCTTAGACACAGAATTCTGGTACGTCTTCTAAGGTCCAGGTCATTGCGCCTCTAAAAACAGCTCTCTTCAAATTGAATCCATGCTCGGCAAATGGCAAATTTGATAGCCAAGAAGAGGCTCCTGATTTCTCAAAAGTTAGATCAAAACATCTCTTTGTAGTGGTAATTTCTATGGCTTCTGTGCTTTTGTTTTTGATAGGAGTCCTGTCATATTTGTTAATCGATTTCATTGTCTCTTCGATGTATTCCAATACACTTTACACTATTACCCGCACTGGAGTTTCATGGATAAAAATTGATTATACTAAGTTTTCATTGACAGTCTCCTAAAAATTCAAAAATAATCGATTATAATCGATTCAAACGGATTGTTATATTCTTCTTTGTCAAATCAATCAATTCCATTTTAGCCGCTGATTATGGCAAATGAATTATGACAAACTTTTAGTTTTCAAAACAGTGCAGAGTTTTCAAAAATTATCTGCACTCACAATCGGTCCATAATGAATTAGGGCAACCTAATTGGTCTTATTAATTCTGTAAAGAGCTCAAATTTTGACACTTTGATATTATCAGCCTAAAATTTGTAGTTTGTCAATATTTTGTATACAAAAAACAATTCTAGACCAATTAATGGGCACTCGGAAATTCAGGGCTTTGACCTGATACGAGCAGTCTTGTTACGTTATTCGTTTGTACTTGTTTTGGTCCAATGAAAATTTAAAATACCAAATTTGTCACCCGCTTGACATTGCGTTTTGATTTCTGGACATTGCTTAATCAGTTTACTGTTCTGAGTTTGAAGTAAAATGACGGAATCTTTGTGGGCAGTGTCTTTTCCTTCGGAAAAACTTTGAATTCTAATGAGCCTTTTTCTAGACTGTTTTTAAGACATTTCAAAAGAATGGATGTTTTGAGCCCAATATTTAGGGATATTTAATCTGTGATAGTTTTTCGCAAATTTAGAAGCTTTCAGCCAATTTAGTCAATTTGTGATAATTAATTCGCCATGTTGATCGGCTCCCTGAGTACAAACGTAAAACAATTTTTTGACTGTGATTAACTTTTGAAGTTTTTGGGTTTCAAAAATAGCCAAATTAGCCGTGCTCTGAGCTAGTTTATGCGGGTTGTGGAAATTTCATTTATGATGCTAAAATCGTAATTCGATTTAATTATGTGTGGTGAGTTATCACGCAGAACAAAAGCGTTCCAAACTGATTTAAGTCAAAGCAATCGGTCGTCTTTAGTTCGTACTACTCAAATTATCACGCTGGACTTTTCTGGTTTTTTTAAAATATATATTTTTTTGCAACAACTGTTTGATACAAATTAAGAGGCAGCCGGATCAATCTGGAATTTGCCATGATATACGAGCAATCTTATTGCCCAATCGAGGCTAAAGTCATCACTATGTACTTTATTTTGAGCGCTATGAACAAGATTCCAAAAAATTTTCAATTAGGAGTATATAATTTTTCAAAAAAAATTTTGAAAGCTTTGTAAGTTACTTTGAAGTAAAAATGGCCTTTGCCTTGAAACTTGTAGCTTTGTATTAATCGATTTTTTATGAAGCTTGTAACTCTAGAGGTTGTTGTTCTTGACCAATAAAAGTTTTCGTCAAATTGTTGATTAGCAAAATAAATAACACTGCTCGTTTTTCGAGGCAGAGCTTTCAATGTTTTGGCTGCCCTCTAATACCGTTCACAAACTGTTTGGTTAATAACTTTTTTTGAAATTTCCTAATAAAATGAGAGTTTTGCGTTTTGACAAGCTATTTAAAGTACCAAGGGATATATTTTGCGGGTAGTAACGCATTATTAAAAGCAAGTTGCCTACCTGAGTTCAATTTGGAAGTTTATTTTTTACTGCTTTTGTTTTGATAGCATCAAATATATCGCGCGTAGTTTATCTCATTTTGAATTATAATCGTCAAAGTAGGCCCAATTTCAAATAATTATACCTTAGAGGTGATTCTTTTTGAATTTGAGCTCCAGACAAATTTTTTTTCAGATGGCATGAAAAACTCCGTCAAAAATCTTGTTTAAAAAGTTGAAAGTTGACTGAATAAAAAAACATTACGAGGCCAATTTGTTAATTTTGTGAATTGTAAGCTGATTCCGCAGCAAGGACGCTCCCTTTGTTCTTTCAATCTCTTTGATCGCTCCGACAAAATTTCAACATCTTTAAAGACTTGTCTCTGGAATCCAGGAACATACAGACACAACATTGTGCGCCCATCCAGTGCACAGTTTGGCCTGGTATTCTAACCAACCCAAGCAAAAAATATTCGGCTTTATCTTCAAAAATTGGGACCAAAAAATTGTTTTCAAGTCTTCCCTGTGATAAATTTAGTAGTGGATCAATGATGAGGGGATGTTGCCGAAAGTATACGCGAGTCAAAATGATAGCAATGTGCTATATCAGCGCTCGGCCCTGCTTCGAGTCACGGTCTTAAGCCGAGCACTGATGCTTGGCTCGATTTTCAAAGTCGATAACGAAAACAGAGCATCTGGACTCGGATGACATAGAAAAGGCATGGAGTTGAACTTACCCTTCTGCTGGGATCCAGTTGCGCACATAGTGTATGTCCTTAACATTGTCTTCCTCCGCGAAGTCCCCAACCTCCACTATGATGTCCGAAACTGAAGTAGATTGGACAATAAACGCACGAAAATGAACAGTATGTTTAAGGCCTACAGAATGCCCCTCAATTGCTGAACCACAATTGCTATTACCCGGGCCGAGGTCCGCGACTCATGTTGCAACCGAAATGGGTCGCCGAAACGGACTTCCTGCGACCGAAATTCCATCATCCCGCAAGAGGCTTGAGTCGCACAAAGTCGCAACATGGGTCGCGCAAAGTCACATTATAGCTAATTTGGGTCGCGCGAAGTCGCAATATGGGTCGCACAGAGTCGCAACATGGGACGCGCAAACTCGCAACACGTGTCGCGCAAGTTCACAACATAGCTAATTTTGGTCGCGCAAAGTCGCAACATGGGACGCACAAAGTCGCAACATGGGTCGCGCAAAGTCACATTATAGCTAATTTGGGTCGCGCGAAGTCGCAATATGGGTCGCACAGAGTCGCAACATGGGACGCGCAAACTCGCAACACGTGTCGCGCAAGTTCACAACATAGCTAATTTTGGTCGCGCAAAGTCGCAACATGGGTCGCACAGAGTCGCAACATGGGTCACGCAAAGTCACAACATGAGTCGCTCAAAATCGCAACATGAGTCGCGCAAAGTCGCAACATGAGTCGCGCAAAGCCGCAACATGGGTAGAGCAAAGTCGCAATATGAGTCGCGCAAAGTCTCAACTTGGGTCGCGCGAAGCATAAGTCGCAACATGGCTCTCGCAAGTCACAATTTGAGTCGCGCATCATAAAGTTTCAAGCAGCTTAAAAATTCGGGTCGAACTATGATCAGACCGAATTCGGTCGAACAGCGAACTTTTCCAGACCGAAAATACTCACCTGATTTCGGTCTGATGGTCGAACTAGGGTGTCAAACTGGAGTCGAATCAGGGTCGAATTAGAGTCGAATCAGGTTCGAACACGAGTCGAATCAGGGTCAGACTAGATTCAAATCAGGTCCAAAAAAAAGCAAAATGGGAGTTTTCAAAGAAAAATTAAGTACAATGCGGCAATATTATGAGCAAAATTAAGTGCAATGCGCATATACAACAAATTGGAATAGAAATGGAAAGCGCTCGGTCGTTTTCAAGCTTTTTTTGTCATACTTAATTAACTTAACTGGCCTTATACGAGAACCTTTTCAAAGCCGTAAGAGACGCCGAAACTACAAACTGAACAAGACTGCTCGTATCAGGGCGAAGCCCTGAACTTTCTGACTGCCTTTTTAAGGTATATGGAGCGGTAATAATATGAAAATATTTTATGTAATAAAATATAATGATTTAAAAAAATTGATACTTTTTCCCCCCTTACGCCATAAACAGTTAGTAACAAGTCATTTATGGCAAATAAACTTCCTTGAACCAATTTTGAACGATTTATAAGACACATTAAATCTCCGCTTGCGCGGTAACAGCGCGAAATAAACCGCGCGTTAATTTGTCCCAAATTGGCGAAAATGGCAAGATTTAAATTCCCATAATTTTAAGCTCAAGTTTAAGCTCAAGACATCAATAACTTTTGATTGAATAAAAAATTTCGTCAAGCTGTCAATCTACATAAAAAGTCGAAGTTTGTCTGAAAAAAACCACCCCGAGTGCAAATATTCCGTTACTTGCGTTACGAAAGTCGGAACAATGAGGCTTGCCATTAGAACCCTTGCAGTGTCTTGTATCCTTCTTTCAGAACTCCACTTGTAATTCTACGTGACGAATTAAATCAAGTTCAGTCACACTGAGTTAACAAAAAAAACTAGTTATACATTTCTCGTACATGTTCTTTCAAGGTTCTATGACCAGCATGCTCCCATACTATGACTTTTATAACTAGCTTTTTCTCTTTGCTTTTATACCAAGTTTTTTCTGTACTATCACATTGCAGATTTTTGTTTCTTACTTTCAATTTTATTAATTTTGTGTACTTCCAAAAATAGTGATCCTGGCTAACAATTACTACCCATAAGTCAGAGCAACAATTGAAAGATCAAAGAAAAAGCATTATGAGATCATGCTATTAGGAAAATTTGCTTTGAAGCAGTTATAAAATAAAATTATTCAATTTCTTGCAATTGACCTGTACCTGTAAAAAAGTCACCCAATTTCCTTAAACTATTGCTCGCGGATTGAAAACTTGGTTTGATTTTTAACAAGCCTTCAGGGCCTAGCTTCAATAAACATATTTTTAAGTTTATTATGACTGCAAACTCAAAACCAAATACAACTGGAGATCTGGATGACGTTTTTTTAAATGATTTCATTTTGTAGGCATAGAGTTTTTTGATAAACGTTTGCATGAGTACAGAACTAGTTCGGTGACAAAAAAATGATGGAACGTTTTTTTGAAAACTTTGATTTCAAAATTTTGTAGTATTCCCAAAACTGCGAGTGATGCAATTCCCATAAAATACGAAATGTGTGTCAAGCATTTTTTGCAGACGATTTGTACGGAGTTGTATGACTTGAGTTTTTTGGTGTATAGAGGTCAACTAAAAAATATCGATTGAAATTAATGTCAGCAAAATCATATCAGATACAATTTGCAACTCCACCTTGGCGTTTGCTCGCACGATGCCTTGTTAATAGCAAATTATACAATATAAAAAGGGATAGCAGATTACTGTGCAAGTATTTTTTTTCAAATTAGCGTCATATTCTGCGTGGTGTAACAAAAGGATCAAAACAAAAATCTAGGGCTTAGGCATGTTCAGCAGTCATAATAAAATAAACAAATTGGTCAAATAAACAATTTTTTTTGGAAAAATGACCAGAAAAACAAAAAATCAGTAAAACTGTAGAAAATTTTAGTTTTTTTTGTTCAAAATTTATTTTTCTGCAGTTTCTGAATTTTTTGAAAAGTTTGATCTCAGAAAAGTGCTTAAAAAAACTCAAAAAGCAATGTTGCAGCTAATAAGCTATTAAAATCAGCCATTTTAAGGCTGATCGCTTGTTTTATTTGCTCGAATTAAGAGCAGAAATCAAAGATTTAAAACATGTTTTCCTCTATACTTAAACGTTTTCCTGAAAATAATTAAGAACTGTTCGGGTCGCAAGTGAAAAAGCTTTGAAGTCATTTGTCTTTCGACCCATTTCGATGATTATTTGTGGTATCTGATTTTACGTGGAAAACAAAAAGAAAAAAACAAGAATAGCCGGTTACCGTGCAAGCAGCACAGATTGTTCGGACCATAGAATCAAGAAAAAAACAGAGTTTTTTCAAATTATTGTCGTTTTTCTTTCGACGTGGTGTGATAAAAGGAGCTGAACAAAAAAGTGGGGATTGGGCATATTCGACATTCAAAGTAAAATAAGCAAATTGAAAAACAATTTTTCTAGAAAAATTACCAGAAGAACGAAAAAAATTTCGAAAATTTTAAAAGTTTTGCAGTTTTCGTATTCTAGTTTTGATTCCAAAAAAGAGCTAAAACACTCAGAGTAAACTAACGTTACTCAAGTAAAACTAATTTTGTACATTTTAAATTAAGCTATTGTAAGCTATTAATCAATTAAAATAAGACTGTTTGCTCGTTTTATTCGCTCGAATTAAGATGCAAAATCAAAAATCTCAGACCGGTTTTTCTCGACACTGGTAAATTTTCATTAAAATTTTAAAAACTGGTTCAAATCAAGAGTGCGAAGGCTTCAGCAGTATGATATATCACCCCAGTCCGATGACTATTTGTGGCAGATGTTTTTGCGTGGAAAACAAAAAAAAAGAAAATGACTTAAAAAGCTTAATACAAAGTTCTCTCCCATTTTCAACGGTCGGAACAAAAAAAAGAAGAAAAACTAAAACACACCCGAATACAAAGTTCTTTCCCCATTTTCAATGGTCAAAAAACATTAAAAGCGGAGAAATTTCTGAGAAAATTTGAAAAACAAACTTTCAATTTCAATTGAGATGATACAATATTATGAGTGCAGCTTGGCCTCTTTAACTCGTGTTAGCGTTAATTCGTTCTCGCGTCTCAATAAAAGCAAAGCCTTGTCCAGTGACTGGTTGAGAATCCGGTTGTCGGCATTTTCTACAATTCTGCTAGATGCAGCAGTGTCCAATTGATTTGCAATAACAAACGATGATATTTGACATTCATAGTAAATTATGCAAATTGTTGAAAAATGACTAGAAAAAACAAACACAAAAAAAATTCAAAATAATATTTCTTTGTTTTGCAGTTTTTGGAGGTTCTTAATTCCAAAAAAGCGCTAGAAAAAGTTAAAATTACAAAATTAGGTTTTCACAGCTTAAAATAGGCTAATGGAGGTATTAATCTATTAACATAAGCTATTGTTAAAATAAGCTACTGCTAATTCGCTTCATTTGATCGAATTAAGACCAACAAAAGAATATTTAATCTTGTTTTTCTCGATAGTGGAACAGTTTTTTGATTTAAACTTTCTCAATCTTCCGGTTGAAAGTAAACTTGATCCCAATTTTCGCTTTCAAAATGAAATGATAATGTGGTGATGATTCCCACGGTCAAAAAAATCTTCAATTATTTATGTTTTGATTTTGCAAATCGAGAAGTTACGCCGTTTTGCTCTTGAACATATGGCGTGGAGAAGCAAAACAATTTTAAAACGAGCAAAGAGTTGAAACCTACTCGATTTCGGCCGAGAACGGTCGAACTATCATTAACTTTGGAACAGAAAGTTGAAATTTAACTTGAGCACCTCGACCCAGGTTTTAACTCACCCTCAGTGTATGCAAAACAGTGGCCAGCTGTAATCACCCACTCAGGGTCAACTATGGCCCCTCCACACATTCGGTCCATGGCTTCATTGCGAACGCGAACGAAGAAGAGCCGAGAGACACTCGGAATGCCGTTCACAATCCCGCTCACAAACAAATTTCCACTCGGAAAACACGCAGTGAACAACACCAGCAGGAAAAAAATTTCAGACTTTGAAAACTCGCTCATTGGATTTTTTATAGACAGGAAGACGTTTTATAGACAAGCTATCGAGTCGTAAATTTGTGACCTCAACGTAAAATATTGTCAAACAGTTCTTATTTACCTATTTACGTTTCGTTTATTTTAATTTATAGCGAACAGATAATGATTGCGAGTAAATAACCTCTATTTAAACTGAGAAGTACTTTGGCACGAAAAACAATTACAGTATATGACCGTGACCTGATTCGAGTCCGAAAAATACCAAAGTACAGAGTGGCTGATATTTAGTTTATTTGGATCTCTTTAATTATTTGGATTCTTTAACAATTCCATATAGGAAGGGTAGTATTCGTTACTATGTACCATGGGGGAGGGGTAGCATAGTCGTAACTAAGAACCATATGGGGTTATGTATAGACAAACCTCATCATCAACCAAACGCGTCCACTTACCATGCCTTGTGTTTTCTTGGGAACAGTTTTTCCTTATAAACAAATAAATAATTTAAAAATCTCAAAACCTCAAATTGTGTCAGCCTTCACCTCGAAGAAAAAGAATTTATGAAATAGGAATGAATTAATATTTAGTGAATCATGCATAGATAATGCGCACAAGTCACATGACACCTAAAGCTTATTGCTTCTGACTAGCCCCAGGGCTGACCAGCTTCGACGTTGGTTGTTTTTTTTTTAATCAGATTGCAGTATAAAATTTTGTTTTTATCAGTTATAACAAAAAAAAACGCCAGATAGGGCGGACTGCTAGTATGGATTTTGGAAGCAACTATCGAAATAAGTTCTCTCGAGGTCGAGAAAAACTACTTTCATTGTTTTGTCGTTCATGTCCAAATTCCGTGAACATTGTAAAAAAAATGGCCTTCATTTAGAAAATAAGATGTTTTTTTTTCTGTTTTCAGAACATAAATCCGGCTCTTTATCCAACGGCGACAACTAAAAAACGGCAATGTTAATTTGAAACATATAATTTTACAGCAAATTTTTGCTCCGGCATATGGATAGTTAAAGCTCTGTAAATATGCGCTCTGGGGTAGTTATAAACAACCTCATCATCAATAAACGCGTCCACTTACCATGCCTTGTGTTTTCCTGGGAACAGTTTTTCCTTAAAAACAAAATGAATAATTAAAAAACCTCAAAATCTCAAATTGTGTCAGCCTTCACCTCGACGAAAAAGAATTTATGAAATAGGAATGAATTAATATTTAGTGAATCATGCATAGATAATGCGCACAAGTCACATGACACCTGCTTATTGTTTCTGACTAGCCCAGCTTCGACCTTGGTTGTTTTTTTTTTCTATCAGCTTGCAGTATAAAATTTTGTTTTTTATCATTTATAACAAAAAAAAAAACGCCAGATAGGGAGGACTGCTGACATGGATTTTGGAAGCAACTATCGAAAAAAGTTCTCTCGAGGTCAAGAAAAGTTACTTTCGATTTTTTGCCATTCATATCCGAACTCCGTGAACATCGTAAAAAAACTTGGCCTTCAATTAGAAAAAGTTTTTTTTCTGTTTTCAGAACATAAATCCGGCCTTTTAACCAATGGCGACAACTAAAAAACGGCAATGTCAACATTGAAACATATAACTTTTACAGCAAATTTTTGTTCCGGCTTATGGATAGTTAGTGCTCTGTGAACAATTGTCGGACAAGTTTCGAACATTAAAAAGCATATAAGAATACAAGACTGCTCGTATATCATGGCAAAGCCCTGAATGTTCTGACTCACCTTGATTCATATCAAATAGTTCTAGGGAAATGACAAAAGTGAAAAACTATAGCTTTTGGATAACATCAAAGATGAATTGTCAAAAATTGGGTCGTGCGAAATTAATACCGATTAGCTAACCTAAATTCAATTTGGAAAAAATTTTTTGTGCGGGATAACTTGACACGCATAAATATTTTACGTTACATTCTCAGCATCATGAATAAAATCTTCAAAACACGCTTACTTTAGTCTGGAGCATGACCTAATGAACAATTTCAAGCTCTCAGAACATTGAAAAAGCCGATCGGAATAAAACAATTGTTTATATTTGATTTCAGGTAGTCGATATCTCATTGGGGTATGAAAAACCTTTGTTAAAAGTTATTTTTTCGATCGCCAAAAAATGACTTAACGAAAAAACCAAACCAAGAATAAATAATCTGTTTTCCGCAAAATTCGGAACAAAATTTTTTGAATTATTGATTTCAAATTAACAAAAACATATATTCCACTTTGTGTGAAGTTGTGGGCGTTTGGGATTCGGCAATGTGAATAAATTGAGACAATTAACGCGCTAATTATAAGTGCTCCTAACACATGAACGCCGATTTAATCCGGCTCACAAAGCATTCAGCATTCCAGTTTGGCTTAAAGCAAATCAATTTGACTAAAAAATGCGTAACTAGAGTTATAATTACATGAGTTGATACTTTAAACAGCGTCTAGGGCAAAGGTTTTCAAAAATTATGTCTATTTTCAATTATATTCTGTAATAAAACTTTGTCCTAAATGTGTCAAAATTGCATGTTTTGAAAAGATGACTCATTCTTGGGACCCTATGGGGCAGTCTGATCATTCACGGTTTTCCCATGATACAAGCAGTCTTGTTTCAGTTCGTGGTCGGATTTTTTTGTCCTGTTTGCTCAGCAACTGATTTTTCTGATTCAATTGCTTACCCGAACTTATTCTAATTTTTTGTCTTTTTTCATATTCTTCTTCCTTAAATTTCAACGCAATACGTAAACTAAACCCAACTTTTATTAAACTCAAACGAACGAAAAGTCATACTGATTATAGAATATCTAAAATGAACCAGCAAAATGAAAATTGTCCTCACCGTCATATTCATTCGAACTGCTAAAAATGGGATTGAATGTTGATTCTGGCGTTTTTAGGGTGGGAAGCTAAACCCAATTATCAATAAATCAAATGACCAAAAAAAACACTGATTGTAGTGAATACTGAGGTATTACCGCCCAGCAGCTGAACTATAGAATTGGTTTTATTTTTCTAGCAAGGACATCTCACTTATATTTATATTATTATTAGCCTGAGGCATTTATGACTCCGATCTGCATTTGAAAAACACTATTTAATATCAATTAAGGGTTATACTGGAATTGAGAAAACGGTATTGTGCTGATTTTTGAAAAATAATCTAAATAACAACATAATTGGGAAAGAATTCTGAGCAGATCACAAGACAGAAAAAGAGGGACAAAAACTTTATACGATTCTTGATCGAAAAGAACTACTAAGAATAAAATTCACTTAAATAACTAATAAAATTCACTTGCAAAGTTTTGTAATTTATTATCAATTGAATTATATTACAATCACAAATGGGTAATTATTAAATTAATAAAAAAATTACTATTTAACCGGGACTCAATTTTTAATAATCCTGATTGGAGTTTCGTTTCACAACAGTGAAAACAAAATTGTAATTTCGCACCAGAGAATATACCTAAAAATTATTACCTCTGGTATTTAAAACCGGGCTAAAAAATCTAAAGACAGTTTGTCATAACAAAAGATAGGCCTCTAAATTAATGGTAGCTGGAGGTATTTTGCAAAAAGTTATTTGAAAAAAAAATTACTAAAAAATTTGAAAACTTTTGATTGAATATATCCGTTTGTTGGCCAAATGGCAACAAAAATTTTGTTTTGAATCAAACATTTGATTACTCTCAATTATTTTCCGGTACTTTAAATTTATGTTGACACAATTAGACGACACGATCAAAAATTAACAGCCAAAATGACGAGCAAATTGACACGATAGAAGAAAAACTGGATGTTCAGGCCGGAGATGATAAGAAATCAAATCGTCGGATCATGGCTGAAAGAAGAAAAAGGGACAATTACGATCGCAAAATTCTCCGCACAGATGATAATATAAATCACTTGATGAAGGAGAAAAGAAGATGTTGTCTAGTGAAAGCAGAGTTGGAAAAATTTTACAAATGCGTTAAAAAAATGCAAGAGAAAGCACAACAGATTGACGTCAAAGTGGGGAGCAAACAGCAAACTGAAAAAACCGACAACAGAAAATCCACAACGCTACATGAGGACTTCATCAAAGGACTTCAAGAGTATTTTGACGAAACTGGTAAGGCTGAAGTCCTTACCAGAGATAAATCTCAATTAAACTCAGGATTGAGTCAACGACTCGTGTCCATAGAACGTTGTCGCAAATTAGCATAAACATGACCTCAGAGTCCAGCAACTGAGACAAAAAATAGCAGAATTAAGGATCAAAAACTTGAAAACTTAACAAAGACTTTCTGAGCAATTGTCCGAAATGAAGATCATAAATGCAGAAAAAACGCAGCAAGGCTAACCGAAGAGTTTTCTGAAATGAAACTTTCGTATTCCAATAAGTAATTGGAACTCGCAACTGCCAGAAGCAAAAGATACGTTTCGCCAGATAGAAGTGACAGATATGTATCTGCAGACGCAAAATTAGTCTCATTCGACGACGTAGATTCAGAAAGGACCTACACAACAGATTGGCTGAAATCATTAACCCAAACAGAAGAACAGAAGCACTAGTCAAAAACAAGAATTAAACCCGTTGAATAAAGTAGATCACATGAATAGCGATCTCATGACGGATGCTCAGAGGAACTAAACACGGAGTTTAGAAATTAGAGTTTACCAAATCTTAGCCTAGCAAAAGTAAAGCTAAAAACAATTGCTGCAGGTCCACAGGAATTGCCAGAATGGTCTGGATTATTAACAGCAACGGGGCATAAGTCGAGCATAACAAAAAGTGAAAAGATATACTAACTGGAAAGCTATGTATCTGGCTAAGCTAAACAGGTTGTACAGGACTCAGTTATGATGGCAACCAATATGAACAAGCATGGAATTTTTGTTTTAGCATTACAGTCAGCCACATATCATAGCTGATTCACATCGAAAGGATACACGGGCAGAATTTTCCAATTATAAGGATACACAGTTCGCATCAAACATCGAAATTTGCAGATACGAAGGTGATCTTATACAAATTTTCTATTCGAGGGTGATCTAAAATCAACTTCGAAAAAAAACAAGATATTGAGCAAATTTCCACCAGATCTCAAAGATAAGTGGAATTTCTTTTCAATCAAAAGGAAAT